CCCCTTGTGGTATATGTAAGCATTTACAGTGCCTGTAAAACTTCAGGCTGACAGGGAAAGGAGTCTTTCAGGTAAAGGAGGCTTCCAAGGTTTGAGTCCTTCAGTGTATGTAGAAAACGTATATAGAAATGTAGAAACTTTAAAAGGAATATTTCAAAGGTTTTAATATGCAAATACAATGGAGAATGCTTTTTCAGTGAAACAATCAAAAGTATTCATAAGATGTAGGTAAGTATGTTATACCGCGAGAAAACAGAGAAGCCATATTTTGAGAGGTAGAATGAGGATTCTTTATTAGAAGGCCAGCAAATGCAGGCAGACTCCTCTCATAAAGGCCTGCGGCCTCACCAGTGCACTTAACAGTCAGAAAACTGAGCTATGGGAGCTGGAGAAGAAAGAAAGAACAGAAAAACAATAGCAACAAATCAGATCAGCTCCAATGGCAAGCTGAAGTGGGTCACCAGGAGACAGGAGACAATACCAGGACATGGAGACAGGTAGCCTGGTGTTCCCAAGCCTGCACTGGTCAGGGCTTAAATAGGGTCCGGGTCAGGGGACAGGGTCACAGGAAACTCAAGTGTCTTAGGAGTTCAAAGCACAGGACTGACAGGCCTAGTAATCTATTGTCCAAGACTCTCCCCCTGCTTATAGGAATTCAGGCACGCCCATCTCCCGGAAGGTGGGACTTCCCCTTCCTCCCCCATGAAGACAAGATGGCACCAGTTAGACTCAACTCCCTATCATGCATCTTGTGGCCAAGATGGTGCCAACCAGATCCAGCCTCCCTACTTCAAGTATAACAATCAACTCCTAGTGCAATCAGCTCAGGTGTGCAATGATCATAGATTCTTCTCATTTCCTAAGTGGACTGGAAGAAGAGTTTCTCTTCTGAGTGACTGCTTCAGCTCCCACCCTTCTTAGTCAAGTGAACAGTTAAACTGCCTCTAGTGAACTGTCTCAAGAGAAAAATCTTCATATTTAGCCCAGGACAGAGCTTGCTCTATCTCAAGTTCCTCTCTTCTTGGCCACAAAAATTTTTAAAAAAATCAATGAAGACAGGGTTCTGGATATAAAGGAGAACATGTCTTTTAAATTCCACGGCTAGAAACCTGACTGGAGGCCAGGACTGCACATACAAGGTCTTCAGATCCAAAGCCAAAGATCCCATCTTAAAGGCCCGAGCTTCAATCCGGTGAAACTGAATTGGAATGGACATTCTATGTTTCTCCAGATCCATAAGATTAGAAAAAGCTCTTCTCAATGCTAGCTGAATTTGAAGGGCTTTGGAATGCTGATTCCCAGGACCCAGTCCAGGTTAACTCAATCACAGTTTCTCAGAACTAGTCCCTGTCCTTGTCATCGTCTCCTGCTGAGTCTAATAGACAGCTATATGAAACACTGAGGAGAATGCAGGAGGACCACACAGCTGACCAGCAGGAGAGGGCTGCCCAGGACACAGCAGAAACACCACAGACTTGGGCTTCCTGAATCATTTTAGTGAGTGAGACTGCACTCTAGTAGCCAGAAGAATAGCAGGTGTCCATTAAACAAACGCAAGGACAGAGTCATGTTCATACCTGGGAGCTGGGTGGAGCTTATCTTTTTAATAGTCTCAAAGCAGAGTTGTGTATAAAGGGGTCAACTTCAGGTCTGCCCTGCAAAGTGCCTCCAGAGTCCTCTTTCCCAGGAGGCATTAAAGTGAAGAGAGAAGGGCAATATTGTATCTAGAAACTCTTTATCTAAGGCTCCAAACCTCTGTTGTAAATTGAGAATGCATTTCCAAGTGACTTCAATCTTCCAGACAAGAAAGGAACATTTCTTTCTTACTGATATGATTTCCAATAGCAAAGTTGCGGCCTCGTGTGACTTTGGAGAACAAAGTTTGGCAGTGTGTAAGAAAGCATTAGTCACTCAGAGAAGGAGACATTTTGTGGCTTCAGTGTGGTTTTTCGGAGGGGAGAGGGAGGGAGGGGACATTGATTCTTGTTAACTGGCTTTGTCTGATTATTTTTGTAGCTTGGTGAATGGTGGGATAGTTATTATCTTTTCAAGCATGGTACCTCCCCACATTTATTTTTGCAATAAAGATGGAACAGGAAAGGAAGTTCATGTCAATACTTAAACTCATATATTAATTCAACAAAGAATTATGTATCCAGTGCCATACTGGATAAATTTGCTGATTGGCAAAACTCAAGGCCCTGTTCTCATGCTGGTTGCCCACAACACTAGTAAATAAGCAATTGCAACAGTGTTCCAAAGTACAGGAACTAGATTTGGGAGAGGGTACAACAATAAATCCAGTCCTGATAATTCAGAAACCTAAAAAACAAACATTCTCAAGGTTATGGGACACAGAAGACTAGTGAGGAGCTTAGAGACTGGCCAAGGGATAGAATTGAAAATAGAGCCGGGCGCCTGTGGCTCACACCTGTAATTCTAGCGACTCAGGAGGCTGAGATCTGAGGATCACGGTTCAAAGCCAGCCTATGCAGGAAAGTCCGTGAGACTAGTTTTATTTATTTTTATTTATTTATTTTTTTGTTGGGCGTGGGGCCTGAACTCTGGGCCTGGGCGCTGTCCCTTAGCTTTTCAGCTCAAGGATAGCACTCTACCACTTGAGCCACAGCACCACTTTCAGCTTTTTCTGCTTATGTGGTGCTGAGGAATTGAACCCAGGGCCTCATGCATGCAAGGCAAGCACTCTACCACTGAGCCAACTTCCCAGCCTCCGTGAGACTCATCTCTAATAAACCACCAGAAAACTGGAAGTGGTGCTGTGACTCAAGCACAAGGTGAGCACCTTGAGCTGAGGAGCTCAGGGATAGTGCCAAGGCTCAGAGTTCAAACCCCATGACCGACAAAAAAAATAGAGACATTTCCTCCCTTCCTCCCTCCATCCCTCCCTTCTTTCCTTCCTTCCTTCCTTCTTTCCTTGTTTTGGCTTTTACTTTTGTTTTCCAGACAAGGTCTCAATACATGACCTAGGCTGGACCAGTTGAAAATAGAGTCATCTTGATTATAACATAGGCTATAACTCTATCTGATATCATGTAATTCAAGTTGGAGTTTACCTATTTGTAATATAAAAATAGAAAAGAATGAAACTTTCATTGAGTGTAGGAGTTCTAAGTAATAGAGGTCCATCAATAAACAAAAAAGACCAGTAGACTAGCACTTGAATACTGCTCAGAAATAAACATTCATTTGCAAAACTGTAACTAATATCCATAATAGATAATTAAATTATGTACAAGGTAGGTAATAAGTATGGGCAGAGCTTTCCAGTGGAGGGGTCTGGGAAAAGTGGTGAGCTGAGGACTAAATGTAATATCTGTGACAATATGCATACTACACAGGGACGTTCAGATGAGATCACAGAACAGAAGCAATACTTGGCTGGGTTGCATCAGTCATATTTCATTCCATCTACAAAACAGTCCTTCTAACTTCAAGGAGCCTGAATCTGGACAGTGGACAGCAGAGAAACTTTTCATTCTACAGCACAGCTCAGAACTCTTCACTGAGAACACTTTAGAACAAGCCATCAGCCTTAAGCAGGTTAACATTTCTCATAAATATTAGTAGCAGTGGAAACAGTTAACCAAGAGCCTTCCTAGACTTGTAAATGCCTAAATTTCCTTTAGCTTACTTAATTTTCTTTCATGTCCTACTTTAAGTCAAAAGTTGAGTGAAATAGTTGTCACCACCCTCACTTTTCCCCTAACCTTCTGTGCAGACCTGTATGGAAAGACTTTTGCTTGTCAGCCCTTTGAAGGCTGCATTGGTGTGCTGAGGTCTGTGTTGAATGGCCAGCAGATCTTGAGCCACTTTAAGTTAACAACTGTAATTTCTAAAGAAAAAAAAATCTATTCAAAGTGTCAATAACATCCTACTGAGAAATTGTGGGTTAGATAAGCAGAACTTGGCCTACAAAATTTTGCCATTCTGCAAACCAGATTCTGATGCTCTTGAAGCTTACCTTCCTTTATTAAGATATATATTATACATTATGCTAAAAAACTTCAGAAGAATGCAATGTGATTTTATTTTGTGTACTCTTAAGCTACATTAAAAACAGTCACTCAGTCAAATCAGACATTTACACTCCAAGTACAGTTCAGTAGTTAATTAAGATGACTATGATTCAATGTTATTGGTTTGTCAATTCCAAATATATATGTTTGAACTCTTCCACTTATAAAGCAGGGGGCTTAATAATTAACAGAATGATGACAGTGATGGGTACTTATTAGTGTGACACTGTGCATAAGTTAGCTTTAAAATAGAAGATCATTCCTACACCTCTCTGGTAATGATTTCCAAGGCTTAATTGCTACATTGTCTTGAATATTCAAGGTTAGCTTAATTGTGGCACATTATCATTGTTATGTATGTATCTGAAAATAAGGAGTATGTGTATTTGCTAAAAGATAGGTAAAGAATGTTCATTGGGGACAGTGGCCAGGCCCTGAGTTCAAGCCCCATAACCAACAACAACAACAACAAAAAGTTCACAATAGGAGTGTTTATGATAGATGAAATCTATTCAAATACCCAACTACAATATAATAGATACGTAATTTTTAGTATATGCTGGTAATGTTATAGTTACTATACAATAATGAGAAGGAACAAAGGCTAGTGACATGGGATAATATGGATGGATTTCAGCAGAATAAAGTGGAATTAAAAAGCTAAACATAAAAGAGTATCTCCTTCATCATTCTACTTTAAAGATTTCCAAAAACAAGTAATGCTGAAATTAATTACAATATGTCTATTTAATAGGCTCCTCTACACTTAGGAAACATCCTTGGCTACTGACATGTACATGAGGCCATGTGCTGGTGGTTCAGGCCTAGCATCCTACTTACTCAGGAGACTGAGATCTGAGGAACATGGTTCAAAGCCAGCTTTGGCAAGAAAGTCCGTGCATCTCTCATCAAAAAAAACCTAAAGGGGAGCTGCTGCTCAAGTGGTACAGCATTAGCTCTGAGCAAAAAGAAACTCAGGCACTGGGCTAAGGCCTGAGTTCAAGCCTCCGGATTGGCATGAAAAGCAAGGAAACAAAAGATGATGTCAAGGAGGCAAGGTCTCCTGTAAAAATAATAAAGTGGGACTGAACTCAAAGCTAGGCACTATGAGAGTAAGAAAGCTTGTTACCCAGCCAGGAAGTTGCACGCATGGGCAGGAATGTCTTCAATTGTCTGATTAGTGCTTTCCATAGCCTATGAGCCAAACAGAGTCATTTCAAACAATCTTACTTCGAAATTGATTAGGAAAAAACTGACAGAAAGAATCTTTAAAATTCATAAGAGCAACATCTTGCCTTCTACTCAAGTCACCAGATCGAACCAGGGCTGGAGCTCAGTGAACACTTTGTTTTCCCACTTGAATTTGAGCTCTTCTGCAAGATCGCTCCTGCCCATCTTGCGAAGATGACGAGCCAGAAGGCGGAGTTTGTCGGTGGCTGTTGGGAGTGATCTTTTCCAGAAGCAAAGAAGTTCATGGATCTGTTCTGTCAGATCATTAGGATGCTTGAGTTTGATGAGTTGCACAGTGCTGCGGCGCACAGGGAGAGACAGGGTGAGGGCCTCGGGACCTTCTTCAGAAAGCTCCTCTGCCAGCCAGTGCAGCAAGTTATTCCAAAGGGCCTCTGTAGTGCAGGAGCAACAGTGTTAGGAGGAATACAGGACTACCCAGGTAGACAGCCAAGAGCCTTTGAACCACTGCCATTATTTTGCAGTGAGAAAACAGAGCAGCCACATTTTGAGAGGTCTAATTGGGATAATAAGGCAGGCATCTGTAGATGGACTTCTGGCTCCAAGATCTGCAGGCCCAAATAAAGCCCACACTAATCTTTTAAAAACAGCAATTACATGCTTGGGGTGGAGACCAAAGCAGACCTTATATGGACATATTCAGGTAAAAGCTCAGGTACCAGCAGAATTTGTCCATCTAGGGAAGATAAGCCTCACCCTTCCATAGAGAGGATATGCCCTCAGCCTTTCCATATAGGGGAAATCTTAAAGGCCAGTCAGGGTCAGGTGATTCAAGCCATTTAGGGAGGTAATCAAGGCAGAATCAGAACCTGCAAAACTTTCCTAAGGCTATGACATCTGCATTTCTCTGAAGCACAACTCTCCCAGTTTTCCTTGAACTTGGTAGGTATCTGCATTCAATGAATGGCTTCTCTCACATCTAGGCTTTCTAGCACTGGGTGGAGAATTCACTCTATCTGGCAAGAGGTATCAGGATGGCTTCAAGAAGTTACTTAGATTCAACCTCCTTACTTCACCATTACTGAGGTCATCTTCTGAGGGTGCCAGCCATTGCAGAAGATAGAGATGTTTCTGAAATGTTATGTCCCTGAGAATTAACTGGGCTCTATCGAATTGTTGCTGGGTCACGTATCTATAGTCTAATTGAGAAGGATTGAGGAAGGAGCAACACAAGCTTCCAGAGGATACTGAAGCTAGGGGTCCACAGCCATCCTATGAGAACCTCTATATCACAGGATATAAGTCCAAAAACATATTTCTTTTCATTAAAGCTAGTGTAACCAAAACCAATTCCGAGCTAGAACACTATTTTAAGGCAAGCATCAATCCAGAGCCCTGTAGTTTTACAGTTTTGGACACAGTCAAAATGAATACCAATACAATCTCGTTCAACAACAGACAACCAAGGATCAATGAACTAAGAAAATCAAAGAAGGGGACCAGAAATCAATAGGTATAGGGAGAATTGTGAGGAGGAAATAAGATTAGAGCATTATAGGGAGAGAAAGGAAGAAAGGGAAGACAACTAAGACCTAAATTCAGAGGGTGGAAAAAGAGAGAAAGAAAGGAGAAGAAACAAAAAAAAGAAAAAAGTTAAAATGAAAAATGAAAAGTTTAAAGAAATTATAATGCATAATGAAATAATACTACAATTAAAAGAATTAAGTTTCAGATCACAACAAATCAAAGGAAGGTTGGACAAATGGGATTGCATGAAGTTGCAGAGCTTCTGCATGGCAAAGGACATAGCCAGCAAGATCAATAGAAAGCCTACAGATTGGGAGAAGATTTTCACTATCCATACAACGGACAAGGGTCTCATATCTAAAATATACTTGGAACTCAAAAAATTCAATCCCCCAACAACAAATCCTCAAAGAAACAACTGCCCAATAAATAAGTGGGCTAAAGACTTAAAGAGAAGCTTCTCTGAAGAAGAAAGAAGGATGGCCAATAGACACATGAAGAAATGCTCAGCCTCCCTAGCCATAAAAGAAATGCAAATCAAAACAACATTAAGATACCACCTCACCCCAGTTAGAATGGCAAAAATCAAGAACTCTAATAACAACAGATGCTGGAGGGGATGTGGACAGACGGGAACCTTACTGCATTGTTGATGGGAGTGTAAACTTGTTCAACCACTTTGGAAAGTAGTATGGAGCTTCCTCAAAAGACTCCATATAGAGCTCCCCTATGACCCAGAAATCCCACTTTTGGGCATTTACCCAAATGTTCACAAACAAGACTACACTAAAGCTACCAGCACAACTATGTTTATTGCAGCATTATTGACTATAGCTAAGATATGGAACCAACCCAGATGCCCCTCAGTAGATGAATGGATCAAGAAAATGTGGTATATATACACAATGGAATTCTATG